CCCCCTGCCGCACCGGCCCCGCCCCGGCCTCCGCACCCGCCTCCGTGCCCCCATCGGCGCCCGCCGATGTACGCGGCCGGGCGGCCGCGAGGCGCGCGGTGAGCCTTGCAACCTCGCCGCGCGCCAGCTGCTCCCGGACCTGCGCCGCCCCCAGGAGATCCTCCAGCAGGTCTACGCAGCGCCGCAGCCGCCGCACTTCCGCTTCAAGCCCCGCCGCCGGCCGCCGCCGCCGTGGCGGCGCGGTGGCGGCGGGGCCTGCGGCGGCCGCGCGCTCGGCAGCGGCGTCGCGCTGGTGCCCTGGCTTCGTCTGCTGCTGCTGCTGCTGCTGCTGCTGTTGCCACCCGTACCCTGGTGATTCCTCGCCACCGCTCTCCTGCAGAAGCGACGCCAGCAGCTCTTCTCCCCCCTCCCCGCGCTTCCCGGCGTTGCCGGCCGCCCACGCCTGCTGCGGACTGTGTAATGGTTGCTGCTGCAGGCGCGCGTGCCCCTGCTGCTCCATCCGCAGCACCTGTGTTTTCCCGTGGTGCAGCTGCGGCCGCTCCTCCTCCTCCTGCTCCTCCTCCTCCTCCCCCTCCTCTCCCCCCTCCTCCCCCTCCTCCTCGCCCTCCTCATAATCATCGACCCCCACAACACCGCCAGCCTGCCCGACAGGACTCTCATGCTGTGTCGGCTGCTGGTTCATACGGCGCACGCCTGCCTGCTGCAGCGGCCGACTGCGGCCTGGCTCCTGCTGTGGCTTCTTGAAAAAGTACCCTGTCCTGTCGTCCCTGCGTTGCTGCGGCGCAGAGAGTTTAGGCCCCTCATTTGAGTGGTCGTCGCACTCTGCAGCTTCTGGGCGCCTTCCTAGCTGCCCCGACTGTGCACTTGCCTCCGCCTGAGATGGCTGCCACTGCTGCGGCTGCTGCTGCTGCTGCTGCTGCTGCTGCTGCTGCTGCTGCTGCTGCTGCTGCGGCTGCTGCTGCTGCAGTAATGGCGGCGATGCAGGTGGCGGCAACAGCTTCGGTTGCCGGGGCCAAACGGCTTTGGCCAGCACCGGTGGGTTCCTCACTGGGGCCTGTGCCCCGTCGTCCACGCGTCGCCTCTTGCTACAGGGCAGTGCTCTCTCACACTCGGCAAATTGCAAGCGACGGTCCATCGCCTGCACCCTCGCGTGCACGGGCTGTGTCCTCCCAGTGGCGTCGTGGGGCCGAGGCGGCGCGGAGGGCACGGGGCAAACCCACAACGGTGAAGGTCGAGGCTAGAGCCTCCAACACTGGTTTGAATTGTTTGAATATCTGTTCAAATTGAGTGCTCTGTCCTAACCTGGGAGCAAACTTTCGGTGTAACTCGCCGAGTGATCCGGTCAGTGATCTGTGCACGAGCGCTGATAGACTACCGAGTAGCGTAACCGAGTTGCCTGGATCAGTTACATACAATATCTCTCTCAGTTCGGCGTGAGACCTGATCACGGCGGGTGACCGAGTGACAAATTGTTGTTGGGTCGCGTGTGACACGTTTTGTACATGGTGTTGCCCTTCTCAGCATACTGCTGATATCACGAGCCTCTGAGTCATGTCAGAGCTCTTTTCCGCACGCGCCGGGTGACGAGTGCGGTAGTGGTCAGGTCAGCGTGCTGGAACCCATAAACCTGACCAGGCCGTCACGACGTTTGCCCCCCCTGGGAACAGCGACCAGCAGCTCTTAGAAGAATAACAGCCTGGTTTCTGTTGACGGTAGTGATGCATCATCACTACCGTCCTGGTCGCGTCTGGGGTGCGTGCGTCAAGGTCACGGTTCAGATGGTCAGTTTCAGCGGTCGCTGCTTGACCGATGGCGCCAGCCTGAGATGGTCCGCATCACTGGGATCACGGGAACGCAAATCCCGCAAGCTGTGGCTGTACACTTCTTTGCGCAGCTGCTCCGCCGAAGGTCGGGGCGCAAAGAGCGCCATCAGGCTTCTCAAACGAATGGCAGGTGGACAGACACTCGCAAGGCAGCTACAGGCACAGGCACAGACACGGTTGCGGCATGACTGAGCTGCAATCTCTGTTGTGTGCGGTGCCATGTTTGTTTCATTGTGAATGAGACAATTGCTGCGCGATTGGAGTCCCTGTGGTCATCCCTGAGCTCGAGTGCGGGGCCCTATCGATCAAATCCCTGACGCATTGCTACCCCCAACCTCCTTAAGAATCTCCAAAGAAAGCTGGACCATAAACACTGGGGGAGAGGGCGGTGGAAGGGGCGTGGGGGGTTGGGCATTGAGCGGCGCCTGTAACGGCTGGAGCCTGGAGGGCCCTGGGCGAAGCCCTGGGGCCACATGAGTGGGAGCCTACCGGGACCTACCACACTGGAGGTGGGGTAGCTGCCCGGCAGGTGGCTGTGGGGACTGGTGGTCACAGCCTTAAATGCCCTTCAAGGGACCGACTCGAGACCTTTTCCTAATGGGGATTCACCTTCCCTGGTACAGCGCCCGAGAGACAGGTGCAGAGCGGCAGTGGATAAAGCTGGATATCGCCCCGCACAAGCTTCCAGAAGAGAATAAAAAGAGATAAAAATCAACACGATTTTGATAATTGATCAAGCCACTGGGCGGTCCACCTTTGAAACCAGTTGAATTCGCCGGCGCCGAAACCCTCTGAACGAGCTCGAAAGACTCTGCAAACGAAGCAGCCGGACGCCAGATACAATTGACATAACAACTCATACAAATTGACGTCAATCATGAAGAGGCATCTTGTGGTCTATCTGTGTGCGGCGCTGCTGGCCCTTTGCATTGCTGGGGTCCCAGTGCAAGCGGCGCAGGCGAGCCTCGGCCCCTTTAAAGGGCCCACGGTCGCCTAAAATGACAGCGTGATTAGTTCTCGCAAAATTCTGGGGTATTTCAGGCCTCCTATGGGGCGTGCGGACTTTGTGAGTGGCAACGGGGGGGAGGGGGCGGGAGGCATGCGTATGCACCAGTGACTGTTTGGGCATAGCAAAAAAAGCAGCGCCAGTGGCGATACGGCACGGGCGGCAGCAGCGCGGGGTGCAAAGCTGCATCTACGGGCCGATGATGCGCCAACCTTTGCCAAACTCTGCCGGTGCTCAGCCCCTGTGCACTCCCAGCCACGCCACGCTACCCCGCGCCCTATCGCAGCTCACCGTCCTGCGAGCCTCCTTGGGTGCTTCTGTAGGGAGGTCTGGAATCGTCGAACCGGTGACGTCAGCAAACATCCAGCAAGAGCTGGGGCGGCCTGCCACAGCGCCTGGCGGTGGTTAAGGACGGGGACTCGGTTGCCTGCAGGAGAGCCAGCTGCAGCCATCTGTCTGCGTCATGAATGGAAACGGATTGTGTCCCTTTGAGGCTTCAGTCAATCTGTACTTTGGAGCGTGCTTTTTCTCTTGCACGCAGGACCCAGTCAAACCGCATGACGACAGCTCCAGCCACACCGCCGCAGATCGAGATGCGTCGTGGATGCACGGTATGCGTGCCCTGTACTGGGCTCGAACTCAGTAATTGTGCGACGGTTTTCTCATCACGTCCACACTGCGTTCCCGCAACATCAATGACTGACAGGTTGTTGCGCAGTACTGTACATAGAGCTCAGTGCTGATCTGGGACTGCCATGCAGACGCGAACGCGGGGAGGTGCAGATGACGCACCTCATTTTAAACCATCGACCCGCTCCAGTGGAGGTCCGACGGCCTCGGACAAGCAGCCCGGGTTGTCCAGCAAGAGGCCAGCAGAAAGCGCTGATAAGCAGCCTGCGGGTAAGAAACAGCGCCATGAGCAGCAATCCAATCCATCTGTGAGCGGTGGACCTGAACGGACAGCGCTGGTGCCAGCAGCGCACGGCGGCGCTGCTGCTCCGGGCTCGACAACAGCGACTGGACAGGGCCTGCGCAGCTTTCTGCACACCCTCGGCCGCAACATCATCGCGGCACAGAAGCAGCAGCAAGAGGCACAGCAGCAGCAGCAGCAGCAGGCCGCTGCCTCGCCGCGGCGCCTCCTGCCACACACCGCAACGCGCAAGCCTGCAGTTTCGGGCGCAGCAGCTCCGCCCGCCAATGGGAGGCCCGCCCCCGTGGCGGCGGGCGCCGCGGCCGCACGCGGCGAGCCGCAGCCGTCGAGCCCTTCGGTGCCAGCCGAGCAGATCGGCTCACGCCCGATAGGGCAACGGGAGCCAGCGCTGCCGCCGCCGTCGCTGCCGCTACCCCAGGCAGGGCAGAAGGTGCAGCAGCCAGCGCGTGAGCGGCCAGCGGCCCCAGCCGCCCAGCAGCAGCAGCAGCAGCAGCACACACGGCAGCAAATGCAGCAGACGCAGCAGCAGACGCAGCAGCCAGAGGAGTGGTGTCCTGCCAGCCAGATCGACTGGGACAGGATCCTGCCGGTGGCGCTCGCCCTAAAGCAGGGCAAGCAGCAGCAGCAGCAGCAGCAGCAGCAGCAGCAACAGCAGCAGCGGGGTGCCAACCCGCCCGCCGATGCGCCCGCAGCACACGCGCCGGCTGTGCGCCCGACCTGTGCGCCGTCCACCGCCCCACACGCGCCGCCAGCTGCTGCGCCGGCGGCGGCGCCCGAGCTCCCAGCTGCAGCCAGGGCCGAACCCGCGCCTGCCGGGGCCGCCGCTGCGTCCGCCAAAGCCCCGCCAGCGGCGCCGCCACGTCCGCAGCCGCGGCCGCCGCCCAAGGCCGCCGACGCTCCCTCGGCGCACGCGCCACAGCCGCCGCAGCCGACGCGCCACACCCCCTCAGCGCGCCCCAGCGCTCTGCAGCTGCCGCCGGCTCTCACGGTGCGGGACGGCGCGCCCAGCGCCGCCGCCGCCCCGCCGTTTGCGTACGAGAGCGCCAGGCTCAAGGTGTCGAAACTTCAGTCAGACTTTGCCCAGGCGTGCCGCCAGCTGACCCAGGCGGCGCGGCGGGAGGAGCGGCTGCAGGAGCAGCTGGCGGCGCTCAAGGCGGCGCTCGCAGGGGCGCTCGGCGCCGGCGGGGGCGGCGCGGCGGGGGCGGGGACGCCGGGGGCGCCGCTGGTGGCGGGGGCGGCGGAGCTGGTGGGAGGGGTCAGGGAGATTTCGCGGGCTCGGGACCAGGTGAAAGGGGGCGATTGGGCGCTCGAGCGCCGGGGGTCCGCGCAGGGCTGCTGAGAGCCGGCCGCGGCGGGAGCGACGCGCGAGCTCTGGCGTGTGCCTGCGTGGGCGGCGGCGGTTGTCGCAAAGCGGGGGGCGTGGGGCCGCTGTTGGTGTCACCAGCAGTGGATGCCGCGGGCTAGTCGGCGCTCGTGACTGCCCAGCTGCCGGCGCCCTCTCTGCTGGTAACCCCCCCATGGCAGTTGGAGGCCCGGCTGGAAGCGGCAGCGCATGAGAAATCCAAGGTGTGTGCCGGCCCCTGCCCATTGTCACGGCCGGCGCCGCCGGCGACTTGGCAGCTCCGACCCTCTCGCCCCGCGCTCGTCCTTCGTATGGAAGGGAGCGCCTGCAGCTGTTTGAGACTGAACCAGCAGCACAGGCCACTCAATCACGGGGATTAGGCAGCTTGGCCCTGCATCCCTGTTGTCATAAGCACAACGCCACCACCGTCCCAAAATGCGCACGACGCTGATTGCCCGCACACACGAATCCCTGGAAACAGCTCACGAAGGAGCTGAGCTCGAAGCGGCGCGAGGCGGCGGCGGCGGCGGCGGCCCTGGAGGCGTGCCGGGCGGGGAACGAGGCGGCGCTGCGCAACGCGGCGGCGGCACGGCGCGCGGCGGGAGAGGCGAGGGCGGAGGTGCTGCGGGTGCGCTGTGCGCGTGCGTGTGTGTGTGTGTGTGTATGTGTGTTGGGATTTCGCGTTGCGGGTGCATGCTGAACACAGAGGGAAGCCTGCACCATGCAGCACGGCGCATCGGGGTGGGTCCCAGGCTTCTCAAACCTCGTCCTAGTAGTGGCGCGTGTCGTGTTGGGGCTGGCCGCACACTGCCGCGCACAGCCGGCGCGTTCGAGGGTGGCCGCGGCCTTCTTGCGCGTGTCATCGCACCAAGGCAGCAGGCGAGCGCTGACTGTGCACGAGGCCGCGGTGCCAGGCTGCGTCGGGTCAGCACGGGGAGCCCCCTGCGTGGCGCAGGTGCGCGGCACCGCCCCTGAGGGATGGTTTTTTTTCCCATGGTCCGCAGGCCCAGGCAGAGGCGCAGGAGGAGCGGCGGCGCGCCGACGGCCTGGCTGATGATAGAGAGGAGCTGGTGCTGCAGCTGCAGGTGACAAGGGGGCCCCTGGAGGGGTCGCGGGGCGGCCGCGCTGGCACGCGCGTCATGCGTGCGTGCTCATTGACGGCCTCTCGTGTGGTGTTTGTGGCATCGGGTGAAGCGTGCCGGGACCCACTGCGCTGCAAGCACGGCCGACCGCCCACCACGTACGCAAGCCGTTTCAGCCTCCATTCGCTTCCCCCGGAGAAGACCCCCATGCACCCACGCGCACGTGTGTGTATGTGTGCACTGGCACACTCTCTCACACACAAACCACGCAATCCACGCAGTACTTGCAAACACACTCACACAGCATCAACAAGCTGCACCCCGCTTGCTGGACCCTACTTTGCAACCCTCCACGACCCTCACCCCCGCAGCCACGCTCAACCCCACGCCCATCTCCCCCCCAACACACACACACCCCTAGGAGGCCCAGATCGCCGCTGACCTGGCTAAGGCGGAGCTCGCACAGTCCGAGGCTGCAGGGGCCGAGGACGACAACCTCGAAGACGCCGACCTCGACGATCTGACGGAAGCCCAGCTGCGCGCGGCGCTGTCCAAGGCGCGACGGCGGCGCGACAAGAGCGAGAAGCGGCTCGCCGCGGCGCGCACGTCGCTGCGCCTGCGGGAGCGGCGGGCCGAGGTGCTGAGGGCCGAGCGGGACGCGGCGCGCGGCGAGGCGCAGCGGCTGAGGGAGGCGCTGTGTGAGGCGCAGGGGGAGAGGGTGCGGCTGATGTGTGCGCTGGAGAGGGCGGGGCGCGCGGCGGGGGGCCGCGGGCGGGCGGCGGTTTTGGAGGATGCTGAGGAGGAGGAGGAGGAGGAGGAAGCGGATGAGGGGGAGAAGGACGATCAGGGAGCGGCGGAGGATGAGGAGGCTGAGGGCGACGGCGAGGGGGAGGAGGGGGAGGAGGAGGAGGAGGAGGGGGAGGGGGAAGATCCTGCGGGCAGCGCGTCCCCGCCGCCGCCGCGCTTGCTGCGGCACCAACCCCCGCGGGCGAGGCAGGAGAGGGGGCGCTAGGCGGGCGGGCGCCCCAAAGTGGGGCCGAGGCGGCGCTGCGACGAGGAAAATTTTGGGCCTTGGCCCGGTGCGGGGCCCCCATGCCGATGCTTGGGCAGGGGCCGCACCCAATGGTGTGGTGCCGAGGGAGCCACCTCAATCGGAGAAGCAGCTTCCAAAGTGCAGGACCCGTCATCTCATTTCACACCCCTTGAAAGCGCCAAGGCGCGGCTGCGGACCACATTCACGTGCAGCCGCCGTCCTGACCGCTTTGACCGCGTTTGACCGCTCTGACCCGGCCCACCCCGCCGAGCTCAAGGGCCACCTGGCGCCGCTGCGCCCCAACGCTGCGCTGCCTGCCTTCACTCCATGCACCGTATACTGTCTGCAACGCGCCCTGATCTGCTGTGCACACACATGACATGACATGACACTACCCTGACAAGTGCCGCCCTGTCGGCTTGCAGCACAGCCAGCATTGTTTCATCCCGTTTTATTGCCGCCCGCCCGCCCGCCTGCACCTGGCACCTCCCGCCCGATTTTGTTGGTCTAGTCCTGGCCCTCTAGCAGGAGCGCATGGCGCTGCCGCGACCCCGAGCGCCGCGCTGCTTGCACTGCTGATGCACTGCAGACAAGAGGTTCCAGTCACGCTGACGGCGCCTTGACCTGAGTTGATGCACCCTTGCATGTCTAGGTCTGTGACGCGTCTGGGTTCTGTAACATTGGTAAAAGGTTGGTGCGAAGAGAGCCAAAATCAAAACGCGACCGCGAGCGCCGGGGCCGTACGGGTGTGTTGGAGCGCCAACAGGCCGCGATCGCTCGCCGGTGGCGCCGCGCGGCGCCGCGCTCCCCCCCACCGCCACCGCCGCCGCCGGACGGATGCGACACCGCAACTGAGTCCTGTCTCCGCCTGCCACCTCCCAAAAAGCGCCATCGCAAAAAGAGAGCGGCATACCCACGGCTCGGTCCGGGGGTCCATTGCTGCCAGATTGCACACATGCGAGGCAGCAGCCGAGCCCTTATGGCCGCAGGGGTGTGGCCGCCCAAGCCGCTGCCCTGCCCCCGAGCCGCCCGACACATTTGCGGGGCTTTGCCCGGCAAGAGCCCCTCCGCCGCGCGTCTACCTGCCTCACCCACCACCCCCACTTTTGGAAGAACATCTCCGCCCCTCCTGCTGCCCAGCGGGCAGGCTTCCGGGGGCCCACGCCCACCTATCGCCCGCCTGACCCCCAGCGCGGGCCCCCCGGACTGCGCGCCCCGTCGCGCCCCTCCCGGCGCCGCGGCGCCTACCCCCGCATCCCTTGCAGCATGCCGCTCTGCAGCAGCTGCTGCAGGGCTGCCGGGTCGATGCCCTGCAGGCCGCCCGCGCCAAACATGGACGCCAGGTCAGCGCCGCCGCCCTCGCCCTCCTCCTCGCCCTCCTCCTCCGCCGCCTCCTCGCCCTGGCCGCCGCGGCCGAACCAGGATCTGCGGGCAGGGGCGGGCGGAAGAGCGAGGAGCGCCGCCAGATCAGATTGCGATGATCAAGCAAAAACGTTGGTCAGAACGATCTAGGCACGCTGATATGCATCGCGAGCGCCACCCCGCCATCCCCGCCCCTCTACAAGGGTTTCGGGAGCCGGCGACCACCGGGGCTCGGCCCACACAGAACTGCCAGGCGCTAGGCTGCTGCCCACCAGCTCCCCCCCTAAACCCTGAAACCCAAACCCCAAACCTCGCGGCTCACCCGAGCTTCTCCTTGAGCCAGTTTGCTGCCGGCAGCAGCAGCAGCCAGCCCAGGCGGTAGTTGCGGCCGCCAAAGACGGTCATGTCCACGTGGACCACGCCAGAGCCGCCCACGTAGTCGATCTTTTTTGGGTGGGTGTGTGTGCGTGTGCGTGTGTGTGTTTGAGTGTGTGTGTGTGTGTGTGTGTGTGTGTGTGTGTGTGTGTGTG